TAACAATCGCCCCATCAGGAAATGATGTCTATGTCCCACCTCTCCAGGACTCACACAGAACAGCATTGTGGCTATCTTAACCTTCAGAGTAAGGGAGATATGAAGCCATACATTGAGTTTCAAGGAAAAGTCTCGAAAAACCATGTGGCATTTGCCTTATACTGATAGGACTAGCTATAAAAAAATCATACTATGACATCATACCGTGACATCATGCTGTGACATCATGCTGTGACATCATGCTGTGGACATTCTGTTCCATCTGGGACTAACCCAGTCCACATGCCAAGTGTGTATGAAGAAGCTTCTCAATGACTTCAGCACCTTCCACTCAAGTTATCCCACTCTAAGCTCCAGAAACCCGAGAACAATGGCGAGCATATGCCATGACCTTTACAATTCCCTGACCTGTAGATTACATGAGCATTAGTCATGTTGCTAGCATGTGAGTAATTAGTTACCTGGCAACACACAACTGAACCAGAAGAGCAAAAAGGAATAAGAACAGGATCAAGAGTATAGTGCTGTTCAGCTTGGGGGTACAGCAGGGGAGACTGGAGCACCGGAAGCAGTCTGGAAATCTCGGAGGCCGGAAGACTTGACACATTGGTAGAGTTGGCTTGTTGAAGAAAGACTACATCTCCTCTGATGGACACATGAACCAGCAGTGGGAGGAGATCTTTATGTAAGACAATGATGCTCTGAGTCATTGGAGAACACCAGCCCAGCCATGTCTGTCACAGAAGGACCATGAATGACCTTCAGATGGCCCAGGAGGGGTTGTAGTCTTTCAAATGTTATTGCCTACAGACTCTGGACTTGTTGAGGAGTGAAAGACAAAACTGCAACTTAAACTGTATGACCAGTACACACAAATGCATACATACACCACACACACACACACACACACACACACACACACACACACACACAGTGGTACAATTCTTGTGAGATCTTTGTACAGTAAGAGTTAATGGCCATCACAGTACTCCTAAGTGGTTTAATGGTACAAGGATGCTGTTTGCATGAAGCCATGTCTCCACATGCTTCAGGAGCATAGATCTTACATGCTTCAGAAAGAGACAAGTGGCAGCTTGAAATTGGACCGTACTGGGAGGCCAAACTATGCTCAGGTCTACAAAGCACTTCCTGACCTTGTTGTCAGTACCCCATCCATTAGACATAGCCACTGCAGTAAACATTATCCTATGTATTGGGTATCATATACACTGCAGTATAAACCATCCACCCTTTGTACATAGCTACCACAGAACGTGTTATCTAACAACACAATCGTGACGCAAACCATCACAGAACTTCAGTGACATACAATAATTAATGCTCAGCTCATGAGTCTTTGAGTCAGCAGGGAGGTTTCACTGGGCCTAGGATGCTCACTCAGGTATCTACACTTGAAGGTAGGCTGACTTAGGAGGTTTGGCTGACCTCAGGTCCTTGGGCAGCCTCACATATCTGGGGACTCATTCTGGCCTTCCTCCCGATGTCGCATCTTCCATCAGACAATCAAGAGATATCAAAAGCAAGCTCTGAAAATCTAGGCTCAGGACTAGCACATTGTTATTCCACCACTTTCCAGTTGGCTAGGCAAGTCACAAAGTCAGATCATCAGGGACAGGAAATAATCTTCGACTCTCATTGGGAGGAGCCACAAAGGAAACCATAAAAGAACGAATACGGAGAGGAATCTCATTCCTCTCTCCAGCAATCATCCCACCGAGCAGCACTGCTCTTGGCAGTGAAGTATATTTATATGTGCAATCAGGAAGCATGGCCAGAATCACAAGGAATCACTGACGTGTTGGTCAAGAGTTGAGACTCCAGGGTCAGACAGCTGGCCCCATCTCCTCTGTCACCCGTTCTATAATGTTTGTGAGATTCTCGGTCTTTCCAAGACAGCTCCTTTGCCAAAGAATCTGTAACAACGATAATATTCATTTTGTAAGGTTGTTGTGCTGATTGGCATTGTCTCAGTGAGATATTATCTTGACAGGGATGCCTGTGGAGGATTCTCTTGACCACATTAATTGATATGAGAGCCATCTTAAGTATGGGGAGGGTCATTCTCTGATCCTGGGCCATCTAAGAAAGAGAAAGAGAGCTGATCACTAGCACAAATGATTCATTGCTCTCAGCTCTTCACTGCGGATGTGATGTGAGAAGAGCCACTAAGCTCCTGCTACTGTCATTTCCCTGCCATGTGGCCTGTAACCTGAGATTGTGAGATCTTTCTCCTTTAACTTGTTTTTGTAGAGGGCATTTTGTTGTAACAGAAAAGAAACCAATTATAAATCTTAATTTATAAAGATTAAATGGCATCATCTGATATGAAGTGCTTAAAAGACAGTTTGTCATATAATATGTTCAATAGGGAATAATAACTATTATCACTAGTTTTATAATATTGAGCCAAATAGGATGTGGAGGGTCTGGATCCACCCTGGGAACATGGTTATTTCAACTCTTTTTTTTTTTTGACTCATCTTTGGTTTTGATAAACATCAACAACAGATCACTGTAGGACCCAGCCATGACAAGCTTAATAGAGGCCTGAGTCTCAGTAGTTTTCTCTAAGGCAATATCTGGTTGCAAGAAAGACCATGAACTGAGACTACCCAGGAACAGAAGGATATACTATTACCTAAGTAAACAGGGAGGGCATTATAAACAACTTCCAAAACTCTAGAATTGACAGAAACATCTCGCTATGTTGGCAGTTTGTCAGCCACTTTCTTCTACATCCTGCAGAATGTCTAGCAGACTCTTTCAGGAAGCAGAAACCTTGTACTACCATCTCAACTTTAGGCAAGTTCAGCAGTCATTTCTCTGTGGGTCCTTCATGTCTAGTTAAGCAGTCCAGGCAAGGGTATTTTCTTGCCCAAATGGCTAAGGAGCCTCTTCGATGTCCATCATCCTCTCGAAGTAATTGGTGCTGCCAGGAGCAGATGTGTCTCATTGTCATGAAAAGTCTTAAGTTTTTAAAACACTTTAAATGCCATATTCTGAAGGTTTCTGAAAGATTTGAAGAATATCTATCCATCTGAAATACATCTCTGTATATCCAGAAAATCTAACAAACATGACTACAAACTTGACTATTATAGATGATTATCTATTAACCTATATTTTTAATTATACATTACATTTTTAAATGAGCTATACAAACATGATACCTTAATCAAGAGCAGAAATATACATATAACAAAACTGACCTTTAATTTGTATCAATAAACCAAGATCCATACCAAATTATTCATATCTACATCATATCTCCCTTAAAATGTAAACAAACATTTATATACAATATTTGGGAATATGGGCATAGTTTTGTCCATACTTCTTCCTGCTGATTAGGAGCGCTGTTAATCAGGTTTTTTATGGTGAATCCTATGTGCTAGGTTCATCTCAGTCACCAGTTAGGCAAAGTAATTTTTTGAGGATATTCACAGTGACCTTTCAGAAGGTCTTAGTCCATCAAACCACACCAGTCTGGAAGCAGTCCATAGATTCTCATCCTCTGTGGAAACAAGAGAAGAACCTCTTCTCCAAAGTAACGTATTCTTAGACCCAAATTTGGAAGTCATGATACCTTTACAATATACATGCTAGTTTAGCTTAGCAGCCCATACAATGAAATGTCTCTCTGTACTTAGCTCCTTCAAGTCAAAAAATTCAAAGAAAACACAATATACATAATCCAGACTCTCTGTGCATATTTCATCTTTACATGGCTTGTTTTTACTCTATTACTTTTTAATATTTATTTTATTATCTTTACTCCTTTAATCTACATCTGTACTCTGCCTCTTTAAAGACTTTACTTCTTTTTATAACTGTCCATATTTTTTTTCTTCTCTCTCCCAAGCCTATGCACATTTATCCAACACTGTGACCCTTTATCTGGATTTATCTTTATTGCATATCTGTAATTTAAGTGTTCCTTAAAATGCTAAGCACTTAAGAATCTAAGCTGCAACATTACCAGGGTACATATGATACTGCCTGCTTGCAGTGCCCATTCCAACATGGCAGAGCTGCTCGCTGCTTCTGAGAGCCACACACACCACCCCGCTTCCAGGCACACAGCCCGTTCACATTGCCATCAAGCAAGCCTCAGCACGTTGCTCACAAACCCCATCCAAATATTCTGTCTCCTGGAAGAGCCAGAGGTCACACTGGCAGCAAAGCCCAGTAAGCCAGCATTTTAAAATGGCCACAACTTTGTTTTTTCCTTCTGCTACTGCTGAACTAGGAAAACCTCTTATAAGGGAGCTGCAGCATGCTACCAGCAAGCAAAGCCCATTTCGGGGGGCAGGGTGCAGCTAAGCTTTGTTTTATAGTGTCTAGAATTTCTTTTCAAGCCCTCTCAAGTTTTATGTGGATTTAGTTGGCCATGTGGGTGCCAATTTGTAGCAGCAGGCCGCTTGTTTGTCCTGGTCGCTTAGTCCCAAAATAATCACACAGAAACTATATTATTTAAATCACTGCTTGGACCATTATCTTCTTAATGGCTAACTCTTACATATTAATTTAACCCATTTTTATTAATCTGTGTATCGCCACAAGGCTGTGACTTAACAGGTAAAATTCCCAGCGTCTGTCTCCAGCACCTCTATGACTTCTCCCTCCCTTCTATCCAGTTTTCCCTGCCTACCAAGGTCGGCCTTATCAACAGGCCAAGGCAGTTTCTTTATCGTTAACCAATAAAAGCAACACATAGACAGAAGGACCTCCCTCACCCTCACAGACTGGGCATAGCAACCACAATAGGATAAAGAAGATATAAAGAGGGCTGGAGAGATGGCTCAGTGGTTAAGAGCATTGCCTGCTCTTCCAAAGGCCCTGAGTTCAATTTCTGGAAACCACATGGCGCTCACAACCATCTGTAATAAGGTCTGGTGCCTTCTTCTGGCCTGTAGACATACACACAGACAGAATAGTGTATACATAATAAATAAATAAATATTTTTTAAAAAAGAAGATATAAAGAATCAGACTTTTAATTAGTTAACCATATGCCTTCTAATTAATTGATTGATTTATCATAAGCCTTCCGATTAATTAATTAATTAACTATATGTCCTTATGTGTCCTCAGGTTTGCCCTTAAGGTACTATAATTTTGAAATAGTCTGACCTTTGCAAATGTACCCAAACATGAACTCATAAGGGGTTTTAATGTAACAATGAAAAACTTGAAAGTATATGTTTGGATTAATAAATTCTACAAGCTTTAGGAGATTCTCTGAGGCACACACACATACACACATTCACAGAAACATGTACATAACACACACACGTAAAATAAATGCAATAACAAAAAAAAACTTTAATTGATGTGCAGCCTGGAATGCAGTTCAGGGGCAGAGTGCTTGCACAAAACCCTTGCTTTCATCCCTAGCACCCAAAGAAGAATATTGACATTCAAGACCTAGGAAGACATCAATGACTTATTTCTTTAAAGGATATTGCTGGCGAACCAGTGATGAACTTTTGTGAGTCCCCCACATTACCCAGCACAGCTATGGTCTGCCATGAGGGCTCGAAAGTTCTCTAATTCAATAGAGCACTTCCAAGCAATCTCTCTCCTTCTGCAGTAATGTTTTCCTGATTTCAATTACTTGTAACTATTTTTCAACTACTATTCTAAATAGAATAATGAATACACACATAAAGATGTGCTCTTCCATGCTAATATCTAGGGATGGCAGGCAACTTAAAACACTGAGATACAACAAAAAACTGCCACAGCTAAAACAATGAATAGTACCGAGTGTTGATAGGGAAGGGGAATAGGACTCACGTGCATGCACCACTTTGCAAACTGTTTGACCTAAGTTGTAAAATTTGAACATGAACCCCAACTATATGCATGACCCACATATCAGCTTCTCACTGATGCTCAGCCAGAATGTGTGAGCATGTGAACTAATTCAAAGATGCATCAATCAGAATGACTACAAAAAAAATCCTCTATGTCCTTTATTGCTAGATGGATAACCCACATTTTATTGATATATAGAATATGTGTGTGTATGTGTGTGTGTGTGTGTGTGTGTGTGTAGTAATAACACTGAATGAGGTACAGCTATGAGGCACAAAGCCAAGTAGAATAACAGATACCATACATTAAAATAAAAATATACACACCACATATTATATGGTTCCATTTATATGAAGTTTAAATAACATTAGAATCTTTGAAAAAGAAGGGAAAATAGTGATTGGACAAGGGTAATGAGGATCCCACTCAGGGTACTGGAAACAATTATATTATTGACCCTTGGGGGAGTCCCATGGTATTTGAGCTATATACTTCATCATCTGTGTGCTTTCTATGCGTATACAACAGACACTGTGATAATTATCACATAGTAAGTTGAAAATGAGCCTCACAAAGTAGCCTAACTTCATTTTCTGAAACTAGGTACCTAACAAACTGGAATTAGCTGTGTTTTATAATTTCACTGGAAGGAAAAAAGTGTCCCTCTGAAAGAAACCTAAATTCCCAGGAGCCTTGAAGTGTTGCATGGACAACAGGCAGAGCCCAGGCCCTGACAGCGGAGCCCAGGCTTAGTTGCAAACCACCCAGCAGAAACCTTAGTTGGGAAATTTCTGCCAGGAGCCCAACAAGGCAGAGATTCAGAAGGTGGGCTCCAGTGGCCTGAGGGAACCTGTCCCTCTGCCTGAGGTGAAAACAAACAGGCATTTTGAATTGCACATGCCACCTCCCAGCCCCCACTGAAGGAGGTGTTTGTTTCCAGTGGCCTCATGGAACAGCTAACTGTAAGCTGGGGAGAGGAAATTACACAATGGATGTTGAAATGTGGGCTTGTCGAAAAGCTGTCACTCCAATAATGAATGCCTTGTTTCCTGTTTCTTTTCTTTTCTCTCTTTTTTTTTCTGTCGAAAGTTAAATGCTGGGCATAATTAGCTAGTAAAAAAGCATGCTTGGCAACAGAACAAAAATAGCACATTTTGGGAGCCCAGGCCAATTAAAATTGTTTATGCAGCCATTTAGCAATATTTTTCTCCGAACTATTATAACCAGGAAATATGCAGCCTGTAAGACTGAAGAAAAATGCCCCCACATTGATCCTTTAACAGCCCGCTGCTCTCAGGGGACTTTCCGGTAAGAATGAGCACTTCCATCCCCCAGAGCTCCCTAGGTCTCCTCCGGATCCCGGGAACAGCATCCTTCACTCTGCAGCAGGCACTGTTGATGAGGTCCTGCAACCTGTTAATGTTAGGATTAGCCAAGCTCCCCGATGTGAGAGGCCAGCGGTTATGGATTTAGCCGCCTAATGCAGCCATCTCACTGATGCTGCTGCTACCGTCAGACCGAGTGGGTGAGACATTTCTGTTAATAGCCAAACACCTAATAATGTGTTAGAACTCTGCAAAACTGCCCTCAGGCAACTTGGTAGCAACTCTGTTGTCTCTGGTCATTCATCCCTCTCCTCACCACCAGGTCCCTGAAAATCTTTCATCTTCGGGGCTCAGGTTCGATCTCTTCTGTCAAAACCTGCCTTCCCATCCTCCATTTACAGTAGTGTACAGGGCTGACGTCAGCGACTCCAGCTGCTGGCTAGAGATGAAACTTTGATTGTGGAACTCCAGATGTTATCTAGTGGGATCAAGGAGTACAGTGAGCAGTTTGGAAACAGAGATCTTGACACCCCTACAATGTTACTCAGGGGAAATACTTGGTTTTACTTAGCTTACCTTATTAGCCTAAATGGCTAAACTGTTTTGTCTGACAGAGAGAGAGAGAGATTTCTGGAGATCTTCACAAGGCTCTAGCCATTGTCCCAAAAGCTCTGGCATGCCTCTGCCAGGGTCCTGCCTGCCGCTCACAGACGGCTTCGTGGCTCCGTGGATTGAGGCAAAGGGCTCACCTGGGAGGGTGGCTCTTTCCAGTCTCTGTCATCACTGGGTTGGACAGAGTCAAACAGCCTGCTGCTTCCTTCTTGCCCATCCTCTGTTCATTTTTACATTCATTCACTTCTATGAGAAAAGTAATATATGAATCAGAAATAATATATTAGCTTGATATTAAGGTCTCTCCTTGGCTTCCCTGCAGCATCCTGGACTCGTCTTTTCTCTGACTGCCCCTTTTCTGAGTTTTTCAGGACACCTGGGTACAGAAGCACAGGTTGTAGCTCCCTGCCTTGTGCTTTGCACTGACTTCATCCCCTGCCTCTGTCCCTTTGTCTCTATGTACGCAAATCTCTTCCAATAAGAACAGCGTGTAAAGCGCTTTTTACCCAGGAGGACATCTCTGGTGGCAATGGTCTCCGAGCCATCTGCACACCAAAGGCAGGTTCTCCAGCCTGCACACGGCCTCTAGACAAGAACGGCTTCTGCGCCACAGGGCTACAGAGCTCACATTCTTGTGGAGAGAAGCAGCCTAGGGCCAACCTCTCGCCCTAGCCCATGGAAAGCCCTAGTCAGGACTAAATGAAGCTCCTGGCCACTGTCCCACCGCTGGATCTCTACAGGCATTTCCTGCCCACCCCCAGTTTCCTCTCCTCCAGGCCCCACCTTTTGAGTCATGAAATTCTCCCACTGGCTCCTCTATTCTTGTTCTCCCCTCCACTCCAAACAAGCATCAGTGCTTCAGATAAGGACACCCTGGGAGGTCCTTTCAGCTCCACTAGTCCCAAAAGCCACACCAAGAGACTTCATTTGGTTCTATAAGGAGATATGGACAGCAGGTGTAACCCTTTACAATTAGCCTTGACTGGCCTCCCAGCATTCATTCATTCATTCATTCATTCATTCAGAAAATGTTTTCTGAGCCAATTCAAATGTCAGGCTCCGCGCCCCCACGAAGCCAGCGGAGACCAGACCCCAGCCTTTGTTCTCCTAATACAAGGATCTGGAAGTCTAGAAGGATTAAGGTATCCTATATGGATGCCATTCTGTCTGTTTCCCAGTATCTGTCCAGAAGTAAGGCCCACAATGCTCTTCTCCAGCATCTCAGGAGACATCTTCTGCATGTCCTCCAATTTGTCAGAAACCTCACATTGTTCCCATTAGCTGGTAAAATTAGCAGCCTTCATTTAAACAGGCAAACAAAAAGCTCTGGTGATAACACTGGGAAGGGTTTCCCAGAGGTTTCAAAGTGTCACTGAGGTCACACCCCCAGCCTTTCTCCAAGCACGGATGCCACTAGCTGTCACTCCGTGAACTGGTCTGTATCCAGTGCCAGGCACTTTCCATGGCTTCTAGAGCTTATTTCTCACACAATCCTAATAGAGAAGTCTAAAGGCCTGGGGGCTCTGATTTACCACACACCAGGCATTAATTAGCCCTGTAGCTTCCCTAGATGTCTGCCTGGCCAGTGAACGTTTCTTTTTTTCCTGGCCCACCACATCCTCTCCTCTTCCAGAATGGACAGTCACGTATCTTAGATATATAGTCTAGCTAGCTGGCTCACCTCTGTTAGCCAAGCAGGAAGCAGGTAACCTAGACGAGACCCACACGATGTCTTCGCTGTATGGCTTCTAGCAGCTTGGCTAGTGATCATCTCGTCCCACAGTTGAGTTCCAGACAGGCTTTGTCTTGTGATTCCCTTTGCATCTGTCCCTACAGTTGAAGACTGGTGCTTGCCATCAACAGGCCACCATGAAGGCCTGCCACCCGGTGCTCACAAACGTAAAATTCCCCTTCTCCTTGAAAGTTCCAAAGAGAGAAAGCTGATGCTGTCTGGAACTTGCGAACTCCCCTCGGCACTTCGTGGGAGAAGGAAAGACTCCGGAGTCAGGGCCATAGACCGTGCAACGCTGAAGAAAGGAACTGCCTGACAAAAAGCAAAGGGGCCAAATGAATGCTTCCGAGGAGCAGAGTTGCCCGAGCACTACTGATTCGGGCCCACTCAGGGTTCAGGCTGGGCGCTGCCGGGACAGCTATGCCTCGCTCAGCGCAGAACGCTCACCCTATCAGGGCCGTTTTCTGATGTCAGCAGGGAAATGGGCGACTATCAGGGAGCACCTTATCAGGACCCCGAGCTCAGTGTTATGTGGGAGATGTGACAATCAGCGGGATGGAAGCCATGCATGAAGCAGTGTTGTTCCCTTCCAGGTGCCATAGAAATTAGCAGAAAGCTTCCATGGTGTGAGTGCCTGGACCCATGCTGCTGCTGTTTCCTCTAACCCGGTTGAACTCCCCCTTGATCCTTGCTACCTTGTTTTGCTTTACACAGAGCTATTTGCTGGTGTCTGTTTACAGTGCCTCTGCCACAGCTGAAGAGCAATAGCAACCCTCTCATTTGAATGGTACTCTCAACATTGCGGTCAGGGGCCCAAGCTTTGGGGACTGGAATGTCTAGGGCAGACGTAAATAGGACAGGTACTGTCTACACCTTTGAAGCCTTCAAGCTGGTGAACGCTGAATGAAAGTGGGAGGGGCTATTTTGAAGAAATTCTCACACAGGTCTTCTCACTTCTCCTCCTTCCCAAACACACATGATGGCAGAGATGTGGCCTGCTAGCTGGAAAGCCCATTTCCTGCCCTTCAAGAGTTCTCTGTAGCACCTCAGAAAAACTCCTTGCCAAGTCTAGAAAGTAGGTTCAGTAATTGAGAACACTTGCTACCCTTGTAGAGGACCTGGGGTCCGTTCCCATCACCCACATGGTGGCTCACAACTATCTGTACTTCCAGGGAAGCCAGAGCCTTCTTCTGACCACTGCTACCAGGCATGCGTGTGGTATATGCAGGCAAACATTCATACACATAAGATAAAATAAGTCTTTTTTTTTCCATCTTTAAAAAAAAAGTCCTTTGTCTCTCAGGATTTGTTTTTCTGAGCTATGAAATGAGGAATCACTAGACGTTCTCACAGTCAGCCCAGGCTCTCTAAGAAGCACAGACTGAGAGCAGACTGAGCATGCAAGACTGTACTGAGGGAAGTACATAGGAAGTTGAGGACGTGTCAGAACCTGATGGTCTGACTTGAGTCAAGCGGAGAGACGGAAGTAGGCGCAAAGAAGCCCGAGAAAGGCTTAGGACGGGCATCAAGAGACCTTAAGTCAAAGTCAGCCACGCAAAGCATCCAAGGCCTCTTTCTGTGCCGTCATCTGGGCTCAGCAGTGGGATGTGGCTGGGGTAATGACAACGGTGGGTGGTTATCATCTGTTGGAGAGAGCTGCAGTAAGAATGCCTTCGGCCATAGCGGTTTCTCTGCAACCCAAATGTTCAGATGCTCAACCGTCAGCCTATCCCAGAACCGTAGCAGTCCCAGAAGGTCTAGCTGATGACACCCAGCGAGCTGACCTCCTCGCTGGCCCCTGTGTGGCAGCTGCTCTCAGCCACTCCCTCGTGGTGGAGTTAGCAGGATGTGTTCATGTGACACTTAGGGATCAAATGCTTCCTGTCTCTCCTATTTTTGGCCTGGCTTTGGTCTTCAGAGGAGGGAAGTCAGGGGCTTTACTTCCCTGCTGACATCTTTGTTTGAAGTAAGGCCAAACGACAGAGGTCCCAACCTGATCCCATCTTCTTGCCCTTCCTGGAGTAAAATAAATCAGCCAGCAGCAGCTCCACGTACGTGCCCACACGTAGGAAGCAATATACCTTTGACTTATAGACAGATCTAGGCTCTGGAAAGCCTGGGTTCTGGTTTCTGCCCTACCACTTCCTAATGAGTAAAGGACCTTAACTCTCTTCTCTCTAAAGTGAGGACAAAACACCCGCCCCAGAGTTATTATAAGATAAGGCACATGAAGTCTTCTCACAGTGTGACACATGTTGCGTCTCAGTTAATGACCCTTATTAGTGATGGTGCTGCCATCACTAACGGAAGGCCTCTTAGCACAGTCGTGGTTACCGCCGTGAGTGTTATCTGAAACCCTGAGGTCTCAGACAGGTCTCCTGTCTTCAGGAAGTGCGTAGACTAGGAAAAGGACACCAAAGAAAGCCGTTCTGACAGTAGTTGCCTGGACTGGGGGCGGCTGGAGAAGTCTGTCTCATTCATTTCTGATTTCTGCACAACCCCTTCTCAGGTCCGCAGCCCTGGTCTCCCAGGCCCAGCAGCACCGTCCAGACCCAGCCTGACACAATGTGCAGAGTGGAGAGTTCAGGCTGATGGCTACAGTCTAGGCCCTGACGGAACCGAAGGAAGAATGCAGTTTGAGAGGGTGACAGGTCTTTAGGGCCTTGGCAGAGCACACTCAGCGACTGAACTTGACCAGGAGGGCAATAGGATGCCCTCAATGTGCTTCGAGTAGGAGAGAAGCATCATTAAATCTGCCTGATGGCTTTGGCTTAGTTGACCAGGGTTAGCCTGCTGTCATGGTCCCTGGGTTGGAAAAACGCAGGGAAAGTTCTGGAACTGCCCCTTTACAACTCTGGCCTGCTCAAACTTTTCCTGACCTGTTGGGGCTGAACAAAGGACCCTGAGGCCAGCTGGAGAGGAGCCCTGCTGATTGCTCACGGGTCCCTTCCTGAGAGGACCAACTGGTATGCTTTCTCCTTATAGCATTGGCTCCTTTCAAGCAATAGAACTTCCTGTCTGATGGGGGGTCATTTTGGCACCTCCATGGAGAAAATGCCTTTAATAAGCCTGTTTCAGCCTCTGACAGCAGACACGTTTGCTTACCCATCAACCGTTAGCACTGGGTTAAAGAAGGGTGACTGAAGTTGCTGGCATCCAGAAGGGTGTCTCGAAATCTATCTGATGAAAGACGACAGGGGTCAAAGGGAACCTTACCCTAGGGAATCTAGGACCCCTACCCTAACCTCCAAAGTGGCTCCAGAGCTGCTGGCTCTTCAGATCCCCACCCTGAGAATCTGGCACCAGAGGCCTCTGAGGAACACCGAAAGGTTTGGTCCACTGTGGAAAGTATGACCTGCCTCAGGTCAAACGGTTGACCTGGAGGAAGAGGTAATCAGGATTCGTCAGAGTAAAAGCCGCCCTTTTACCGCACCCTGGAAAGTTGAAACTGGAAAATCCACATCCAAATGAGCATTCCTACCCGACACCATCAGCCACCATGAGTAAAACGGTCTGCTAGCCGCTGGAATATCCCTAACTCCTTGCTGCTATGTTTAAGAGAAGACCAAAAGGACGATGACATCCCGCCAACACATGGCCAGACACTCTTTCAAATACCGGGCAAATGCTAAATCGTGGTGTTCTCCCAGCAACATGGTCCTGCTGTTATTTCTACTTCTTGTCAGATGCCACACAACCATGTCCACAGAAGAGCCCAATCCAGACTCTGGGTTTGTAACTATCTCTAAAACTCATGTTTCCCTATCTGTCGCCTCCCTGTTTCAAGCCCTGGTACTGTCCATACCTTTTCTGGAGGTTTCTCTGATCCTGTCAGCTCCTAGAAGGCAGCAACCATCATCTGGCTTATCTACGCCTCCTCAGCACTCGGCACCTAGCTGATCCCCGGAATATTTACTGTATAAATGCTCCCGGGTATGGAACACTACTCGAAGACTCTGATTGTCCTCCATTGACGTCTTCCCCATCCCCTGTTACAATCACTTGTAACACGACCTTTCTCACACTTTGTTTGCTTGTTCTTTATTTATTTGTTTTAGACACAAAGTCTCACTTGACCCAGTGTGGCCTTGAACTCACTGTGTAGCCAAGGATGACCTTGAATTCCTGATCCTCCTTCCTCCACCTCCTGAGTGCTGGGATTACAGGCCTGTGCCAGCAGTCCTGGCTCACAAGTGACTGTTACGTCCCAGAAGAGGCTGTCAATCCTGTGGCCTTCCTGCATCTCACCCTGTGCCCACTTTCTTTCATCCCGGATGTGATGGGCAAAATTGCAGCTCCCTCAAAGTGTCCTGTCCCCAGAATATACAGTATCGCATGACAGTGGGGGTGTAACATTTACAGGTGGAGCTATTGAGCTATTGGTGAGGTGGGCAATCAAGATTTCCACATAGACCTGATACAATCTCAGTGGTCCTTCAACGCAATGGTTATAGTCCAACCTGAAGATGCCTGCCAGGCTGGTTTGGAAAATAGAAGAAGTGGGCCCCGGGCAATCTTAAGATTGTCTCCTGAGACTCCAGAGGCACGTGGCTCTCTTGACACCATGACACTATGCCCAGGAGACCCACTGTAGGCCTCCATCCTCAGAACTGGAGGAGAGTAAGTTTGTGTGTTTTAAGCCACTAAGTTTGTGGTTGTCTGTTAGGGCAGCCATCATTTTTTTTAATATACATAATGCACTAGGGACTGGAGAGCTGGCTCAGCAGCTGAGAACATTGGCTGCTCTTCCAGAGAACAAACCGGAGTTTGACATCCAGCATCCGCAAGGCAGGTCACAATTGTCTGTAATTCTAGTCCCAGGAGATCATACTTCCTCTTCTGACTTCCATGGGCAGCATACATGAATGTGCTACACAGGCATTCATGCAGGTAAAATACTCATACACATAAAATATTTTTAAATGTACTAGGTACACAGTGGTGAATAAAATATATATGGTCTCTATTTTACAGAGTTTGGGGTCAGCAAGAGTGTCAATGGGTAGAGGCACCCGCTGAGAAGCCCAGCAGCCTGAGTTTGATCCCCAGAACCCACAGGATTGAAAGAAAGAACAAACTCCTGCAATTAGTCCTCTGCCGTCCCATGTACACTATGACGCATGCACACCCCCACACATACAACACACATACAAAAATACATACATACATACACAAAGCTAACTTATTCGTCAGCCTTATATCAGCTTGACACACGCTAGAGTCATTTGGGAAGAGGGAACCTTAAGTGAGAAAAATGCCTCTGTAAGATTTGCCTATCCACATGTCCGTGGTGCCTTTTCTTGACTAATGATGGATGTACGAGGGCCCAGCTCACTGCAGGTGGTCCTGGGTGCTAAAAGAAAGCAGGCTGAGCAGGCTATGGGGAGTAAACCAGTAAGCAGCCTCCCTTCATGGCCTCTGCATCAGCTCCTGCCTCCAGGTTCCTGATTTGAGTCCCTGCCTTGACCTTTCTCCATGAACTGTGACCAGAGAAAGGTAAAGGAAATAAACTCATTTCTCCCCAGTTGCTTTTGGTCAGTGTGTTATTACAGCTGTAGCCCATAAAAGAAAGAGAAAAAAGAAAAGAAGGAAGGAAATGTAAACAGAAACAATGGGCTGGAACCCCCAGTGTGTGGGGGAATGCATTTGGTCGGACAAACAGTGTCTGAATTGTTTCAGGTCTCACGAGTCCTTCTGGGGCAGTGGGAGAACTCCTCTATGTGGGACCAAGAGCCTGTCAATGGGCCTCCCTAACTTCCCTCACTAAGTGGCTACCGTTTATTGACGATTTGCTGTATGTATGACTAGACCAAGCGTTTTGCATAGGTATCTAATTTCATCCTGGCCACAGGACTCTGAGAAGGATATTTTTATCCCCATTTACCAGATGAAGAAATCAAGGCTCTGCTAGGAAAAGTGACATGCAACTACTGACAGATGTGAACCCAAGGCAAGCAGACTCTGGAGCCCACCGGGCTGTCACCCTTACCCCCTGTTATGTCCTCTGCTGGGTGCCACAGAGCACTGCTACCCGGCCCGGCACGCTCCACCCGAGGCCCCTCAGAAAGCAACTGAGGGGGACCCACTCACACCAGTTCCGGTAAAAAGGGCAGAGCCCTTTGTTTGACAAACTTGGCTCCCACCCTTGTGCACGGAGGGTGTTTTTCTCCCTGAAGCCTGACTGAAGGGGCTGAGATAAGCCTGATTCATGGCAGCTCGTGTGGGGCTGCTCTGGGTAAAAGCCTCCAGCGTTGAGCAGCGTTCGAGTGCACAAGGGCAGCACCTACTAGTTCTAGAGAGGCACACCAAGGTCAAGGTGAGACAGATGGGCTCTATTTCAGGATGCTGTGGCCCGGGGAATCACCACAGAGGTCCCAGAGACTGAAACCTCCCTTCCTCTAGGCCCTTGCAGCCAGGCATGTCATCCCTCTGAAGCTTCCCCTGTGAGGAGCAGTCCAGCTGATTTTGGAGAGGAGAGACAAGAACTACAATAATAACAATAGCTAATTTAGTGTTTATAAACACTAAAATAATTCCATTTAATCCTCCCAACAAACATTTCGGATAATCTCTTATCATTCCCCATTTTACAAGTAGAGAAACCAAGACTCAAAGAGTGGACCTACCACCAAAGCTACACAGTTGCTGACTATAATGGCTGACCTTCCTGCTTCCAAAGCACTTGCTATTGGAGTAACACATTATGACTAACTGGTACCAGGTTGTTGTTACCAAAAGTAGAAACGGGAGCGGCTCTATCTTGTTTCCCCTCCTCCGGGATCCTGGTTTGGGGAGCTTAACTATGGAACTCAGCATAGGGTGAGCATGTCCATGGGGCCAGCCACACTATCACACTCAAGTGAAGTGGAGAGGAAGTGACTCAATCATCAAAGGCCTGGTCTTCCTCAGGGAACTGCCCCTAATCACAATTATGCCACTACAATAATACGGTTCCAGAGAGGCTGCGAGCTGGGGCACCGTGTAGCCATGTAAACTGTTTCCTGTATCTTCCAGCTCCAGCAGCATTCAGTAATTAATAGAATCCAGCCAGGCCAAGCGCTCTGATAAGGTGAGAGCCACGCCGCTGCCGGCCTTGTTGTTCTAAGGATGAGTAGCCTAGTGGCTACACAGGCAGCCTACCCTTCCTGCTGCCGGGGACACAGAGCCTAGGGCCCCCAGGAGGTCATGGGAAACCGCGAACATTCTGACCGGTTTGGAAATGCCCTGGAAGTGAAAGTTACCTTTAGTCTCACGATAAGTCATGATTATCCAACCATCCCCAGGACTCAGTGACAAATGGATGTTTGGGGATTGGCTAGGAGTTCTGGCAGCCTAGGACGGAGACCCTCAGACAAGCAGGTGAATCCCAAAATGGCCCAAGAGAAGGAGTTGGGAAATATGAATACAGTGACCTCAGGGGCTGGAACCTTTGTGATCACTGTAATAAATGGCTCTGTGGGCAGTGAGTTGGCTCAGTGGGGAAAGACACTCGCTGCCAAGCCTGGCAAACGAGTCTAGTCCCCAGGGCACATGGGGAAGGAAAGAACCGACTCTCAAAGTTGCTCTCTGACCTCCACACGCATCCGTATACTGTGGCACAGAGGTTCACACACAAACACACATATAAATAAATAAACATAATTGTACAATAATAAGTGAACTGATGTGTAAAGGTAGGGAAAGGGTTCTCAAATACTGTCCACTGCCACATTTCACAAGCTAGGACCTCCCTGGACCCCCAGGGGGCATGCCCTCTGCTCAGTGATGGTGCCCAGCATCCCCCACAGCACAGGGGCAGCGTGGTAGAAGCCCTCACCAGAGCTCTCCCAGGCCCACGTTTTTAATCGGGTGACCAGCGCCCTCATTTCTTGTCACTGGGTGGAGTGCATTCATTTCTCGTGAAAGGTCGAGCGGCCACCTTCTCTGGGGGGAAAGCTGACTAATTAACTCCTCTGGACTGCAGGCCAACTTCGCACGAATTCACGGCTGGTCTAGTTGTGCCAAATGAGGTGTGAGCCTGCTGCCCCTCTCAGGGGAGCCATACCTCCGAGCTTTCTTACTTTCCCCCTCCCAAGAACAATGCAAATGACAGCAGAAGGATTTTTGCTTGAACAGCCCCAAGAACCTCTAGGGGGGAAGGGCGAGGCCCAGAGGATGCGGATGTTTTAAAATTAGCCTTCATTTCGCCCAGAAGACTCTGTCGAGGTGATTTGCAAATTGTGCAGGGTAATTTCCTCCGGTCCAGGCCCTTTGTGTCGCTGTGAGTTATCATTCTATGTTGGGCTCATTCTGCTGAATGTTCTTGGTAGAAGTCACTTTTCAAAGCTCTGACTTCCACGCTTGAATGGAAGGGAGGTAGTATGGAAGCCCAGGGGAGGAGGGTGAAAAGCAATTTAGCTGTGAGGAGCTGAGTCCCAGCTCTGCATTTCCCGACTGTGTGACCTTGGGTAAGTCACTGCTTCAGTCTGTCTCCCATCTGGAGCGCAGTGATAATTACCAGACCCACCCCACCCACATACAGGGTTGTGTGGTTCTGTGCGTGTAGATGCCCAAAGCTGACGTACAGCTGCTAAATGGCTTTTGCTTTTTAAGTTGCGCTAAACTATCCCTTCATGCTCCTGAGTCAAGACCTTCCTGAGGACAGCAGACCCATGACACAGCTCTCATTACACATGTGGTAATACAGAGCATGCTGCTCAAACCCAGGCCCGTCTTAGACACCACCGGGCTGGGGTGAAGCGACCCGGGTTTCTGTGTGGTTCATCTCGTTTTCAGATGGCTATGGTTGACAGGCGTTTCTTCCTTTCACTGAGTCAAAGGCCACCACTCAGTAGAGTTTGCTGAGCAGAATCACAGTTAGTCTGGTCTTTGTTCTACGTGGAAATCCTCGGAATTCTTTAACAGAATTGGCACGCCCTATAGCCGGTCACTCGGAATAGCTGAGAGCCCTTCCCTGAAGTGGACCATAGACTGTGAAAGTTATTCCCACGCAATTTCACGGGAGGCTGAGGTCCAAGACATCAGAAGGC